TGAAGTCAGGACGAGTGAGGAGAGCACAGCAGGAGAAGAAACAATGAGACGGAGGGGAAGAAAACAAGAAAACAGGCTTTTTTTGTTGTTGACACGGGGAGTGTCGAGCAAAAAGCAGCTCAGATTACACACTTATTGGGTTTAACATCACAGTAAACAAAGCCAGCAGCTCTCGCTAGGCCCCAAAATCAAAATGTCTATGATCAGATATTAAAATAAGATGAGCAAAGTTTTCCATTTTGTCACATTTCATCATCAAATGTTCAGATTTCAGCATGAAAACAAAGCAAAAAAAATTAATAATTTTTTTTCTGACTTGCTCTCGATGAAGACAGACGTTTCTTTCCCTCTCCTGCCGCCCTCCTGCTTTTGTTCTTGTCCTGTGAATCTCAGAGCCTCTCTACACATCTTCTGAATCATAAATTATTACGGATCTGGTCAGCTGGTCTCTCAACGCAATTGATAAAATTTTGATGAGAAGACGGGGTGAAGGAGAACCCTCATGCCCTGAAGGGACACATGCAGCTGGATATATCATGGATTCCTCGGGTGAATGGAAGAAGATGTGCCTGTCTGTATCGTCCATTGAGGACGTTGAAGATGCATACGTAATTGGATTTATGATAACAGGGTTTCTGCTTTTTGGAATCAGCGGGTACCTGGCAAATTAGGAAGACGTCTGCAGCAGTTTTGACGATTGTGAGGCTGCCTGCCTTATATGAAGGATTGCACCGTGCTCCGAGTGCTCAGACTCAGATGCTAGAACTCGCTGGCATGAAAGAATCGACCTTGGAGAAGGCTACAATCAAGGACCGGCGGAATGACCACAAATCTGGCTGTTTGGCTGTTTGGATTCGACATTGAGTGTACGAGCAGAAACTATGAAGGCAGACAGGAAATCAGTAGAGTTGACCTGTCCCAAAACAATTGTGTATCTGAAACTGGATCCCCTGTTTGGCCTTGGGTAGACCATCGTATCTCAAATTTCACCTGGAGGATATGTAAATCATGAAGGTCTGCTCTGCCCCCGCTCTACCCCCCACCCCGAGAACATCTGTGGACACTTATCAGAATCGAACCAGCCGATAGACACTGTGCCATCTTTATCAGGACTGTGGGACTTTCTGGCAGTGTTCACAGACCATCTCACCGCCTTTGTTGGCTCCTTCCCCCCACTGCAAAATGTCTTATGTCTATCTGTGTTGCCTGTGCTGAGGTAGTTTTTATGCTTCCTTACATTGTGCCCTGTGTGTCAAGGACACCGTGTGAGAGATCTTTTTTCAATACCTTCTTTCCTCACGGTTTTAATTCCCTTTTCTTATCCAAGCGATTTTATTAGCGATTTTTTTAGTTTTGGACATTTGTTATGATGCGTAACCATGGCAACAAGGCAGTTTTCTACAACAACAGCAGCTGAATAACATCTCAAAAGCTGAAATAATATCTCAACTATGGCCCCAACTCTCAAATGAGTTGAAAAAGATGTTCTATGGGCGCATTCTCATCTACCTGCCAGCTGTGCTCGAGTGCCTGACCACTGAGATCCTGGAACTGGCAGGAAACACGGCTCATGACAGCGAAAGGACAGAATCGTCCCTCGGCACCTACAGCTGGCTGTCCGCAGCAAGGAGGAGCTCGGCAGACTTATGGGAGGAGTGGCCATCGCTCTGGGAGGAGTTCTGCCCAGCATTCAAGCGGTCCTACAGTCCAGGGGAACCAAGAGGCCAGCCGAGTCTGGGTGGACGGATCGGACGGCATCTGCAGCCAGTTTCTTAGGATCCACTGTGAGATGGACCTTTACAAGAGATCCTTCCTGCCTACAGCCATCAGCATCTATAACATCTCTTAATGACATGAGGATAATGAGTTACAACAACAAAATAATTTCCCTCTGGGATTAATAAAGTATTTTTGAATTTGAATTTGAATTTGAATTTGAATTTAAGGGCAGCGTGTCACACGAATCTCCAGCCTCCGTGCATTTCCGTCTACCCTTGTTGGACGGCTGCACTGGAATGTATTTTTACTGCACTTAACTGTGCAATGACAATAAAGTTGATTCTGATTCTGATTCTTTTTGCTTTTGTTTTATCTGACTGTGACTAACGGCATGATTTCTTGTGATTTTATTGATTTAGTCAGTTTACACATAAATACCTGTATGTGTTGGGGCCTAAAATTCTGCAAGTGCTCAAAAATGTTATAACGACAAAGTGTTTTTAAAAGATGCAAAAATGCAGATACAATTTTAACCTTTCTCTCTTTTTTTTTTTTAAGAGCAGAAAGTGTGACCTCGCTGAGCACTAATGCACTCAGCTTTGGTTTGTCAGGGAAGAAATCAGCTCCACGTTTGCTCAGCACAAGAATACTTGTTGAATTATTTATATTGGACAAAATGTACACGGTTAATTCACCTGAAACACAATCCTGAAAGCGCAATTATTGTTATACAATTATGTGTTTTCATCCGTGTTCACGCAAACATTGAATCCTGCTTCTGTGACATTTGAGCAAAACATCAGGTTGTGATGGAAAACCAGACAAATGCAGAGCAGCTCAGGTGAGAAGATGAAGAGCTCAGTTTGAAGGACATTAGTTTGTGAAGCTTAGGTCGGCTGCTTCTAAATCAGAGCTGCATTGAGAAGGTGAGCCTGTGATTGGAAGGTTGCCGGTTCAATCCCCCGGACCGACAATATCAAAAATGTGGTTGGGAAAGGTGAAACACCCACACCTGCCTCCACCTTCGTTTGCACCTCTCTGGGCCCTTGAGAAAGACCCTTAACCCCACCATCTGCTCCCCCGGGCGCCCTATACAGCAGCTCTCTGCTCCACACAGAGGGCTGTGGTAGCTCAGTGGTCTGTGGTTGTGTCAGGAAGGACATACAGCGTAAAAACAATTACCAAGTCTTCATGTGAGTTAGTTTGCTGTGGTGACTCCTGAGGAAGGGAGCAGCCAAAAGAAGAAGAAAAATGCATCAGACAATGGCAGGAATTACTGTATGTCTGCCTTCATGTTGTGAAAATATGTTTTTTAAGTCAAATTTAATTACAAATAATCTGACAATTTTATGCATAAATAAGAACCGTGAAGAAATGCGTCCTTCTTTCCAGAGTTTTAGGCTAGGATCATCTCATGATGTGAACTTGCTGTTTTGGTTGAATTTGTTAACATGAGAAAAACTGGAAAAAGTTTATTTTCCTGTTGTTCAGATTTGAATCTGAAATGTATGTTTTTTGGTGACGCCATGTTGCATTTTCAAAGCCAGCCTCGATCTACTATAGAGGAACCAGCTGAGGTGGTTCGTGCATCTGGTAAGGATGCCCCAAAGTTTCCCTAGGGGTGGTTTTCCAAGCATGTACAAGTGATAGTAGACCCCATGAAAGATGGATGGATGGATGGATGGATAATTTGATGGTTGGATGGATGGTTTCATGGTTGGTTGGATGGTTGGTTGGATGGATGGATGGTTGGATGGATGGATGGATGGGTGGTTGGATGGATGGGTGG